CCAGCCCACTACACTCAGTCTCCCTTTCTGCAAACCCAGCTACAATGACGAGTCAAGTCAGGACCAGAGAGCTGAGCTTTCGGTGAGGCCAGCCCTATAACCACTTGTACCAGCTGGATACATCCAAATTGTTCATTTTGTATGGAATTTGTTTGCGTGCTATCTAGCAACACGCAGAGACCCAGGGTGGGGGCGGCAGGGGGGAGATTTCAGAAGTCTTTAACTGAGGCCATGAAACACATGAGTAGATTCCAAAACCCGCCTCTGAAATGCCATACCATTTACAAAATGGAAAAGTTGTAAGTTGAATATTGTCAATGTATTGTAATTTACACATAAAAAGATGGACCGGCTCTGGAATTTTTCTTACAAAATACAAGTGCACTGTGAAGATCAGTTTGGTTTTGGGATTCTTACACAGAAAGCCATTGACAGGCTATGATGCGCATAAGCCTTTTGCAGCATAACACCCAGAAATAAACACAAAGCCAAGATTTTTTTTTTTAACCAGTTTAAAACACCAAAAAAATCTTGACTGCTGAATTCAACTGATGAAACTGAGAAAAAGCTGGGGATATCAACCTTCTGAAAGCTCCCAAATTTCAAATTTGGAAGGCAAGAAGTCAGGTACCCTAAATCTATAATCACAAATAAGATTTTCAGCATGAACACACTAAAATCAGAAAACAAGATAGCTTAAAATTATTTAGACAGCTCTTAAACTTTCACTGTGGTTCATAAGTGCGTATTATGAAATACTCCAGCCCCTAAAAACCTTAAAAGACTAGTATATCAAAACGAGCCACAGAACAGTCTTTCTAGTGGGGCACAGTACTGAAGACTCTGGTAATGAATTAGACAGAAGGATCACTAAAAAAGGGGTGCTTAGAACACTGAGAAATTGTTTGGCAAAGGAGTTTAGGAGGTTGTTCCAGGTACCTGAAAGAATAAGGTCCAAGGATGACAGTGAAGGGGAACAGAGGAAGGAAGGACAGGAGAAGGGACCAATCTAATCACCACACGAGAAGACCACAGCAATGGTTTAACAATGAAGGAAGCTGAAGGCAGATTCTGGAGGAAAAAGGACAACAAACTGTGTGAATTACAATGCTGCAGATCAGAAATGATGTCATCATGGCATGATGTCTGAAAAAACTGCACTCCATGAAATCACAGTTGGTGATGTCACAAAGAGAGAGGATGGAAAAATCTGTCTTCATGAGCTCTGTGCCCAAGGTAGCAGTGAGACAAGCAAGAGTGTCTTGCTATCTATCCAGGGAAAGATAGCAGGGGAGAAGTCACAGATGGGGGTAACTTTGGAAATCATCCATGGGCTGGTGACAATTTAGGGAAGATAAAATTTCCAGTGCAGTGTTTCCCAAACCGAGTATCAGAAAGTCATAATCACCATCCACAGCTCTCCAAGGGCTCCTGGCTGGAAGGGTCCCCATTAAAAATACCCCCTTTATGAGCAGAATATTGCCATGACCTCCCCCATTGGTCTACCATAAAACAGTTCAGTAGGTAATGCTTTTGAGACAGAAAACCAAAGAACTGAACCTCAGGGAACAGCATCACGAAGTGGATAAAGAGCCATTTAAGGAGACATTGAATAAACAGTAAGCAAAATAGGAGGAGAATCTAAAGAGACCTGAAAGGCAGGAAAAAGAAAGCCTGCTGAATCAAAGGCAGTTATGAACCCAAAACCTTGAGGACAGAAAGCTGTCCCTTTGCACTAGATGGAGACTGCTAATGATCACTGTGACGGCAGCTTCACTGGAGCTCAAAGCAGAAAGGCAAAGGAGAAGGAAACAGAGAGAGAACTAGAAGAAAACCATGGGAGAGCCAGCACAGAAAAACAAAAAGAATGGGGCCCTAATTAGATAAATACAATATGAGCAGAGTTTTCCATTTGTTTTTCCCTTGAGAAACAAGACTGCCAGGAGTTTGAAGGGAAAGGTAAATGAGTCAGAAAGAAAAAAGGAAAAGACTTGAGAAAAGGACCTCAGAGCAGAGGGAGGTGCAATGCAGGAGGAAAAAAGAGTGAATTCAAGGTTTAACATCACAGAACAGAGATTGCAAATCAGATGAAGAAAGAAATGGTGGAAATAAGAGTGAAAAAAGAGAAAATAGCAACAAGGTCAGAGGAAAAGAGGAAAAAAAGATAATTGATACTTGATTCAGCTGACATCTTAGTCTAGCTTCTTATGGAATGAGCTTTGTGTAACCCAGCCATGTGGGGTTGTGGACATGTCCACAAGCGAGGTTGCCTCCCCATCCCAACAGCTTTTGAACACGTTGGTCAGCTTTAGTGAAACTGCAGACCTCAAAGAAAATAAAGGTCTTGGAAATTGCATGGAGATGCGTGTTGAGGTAAAGGAGAAATAAATCTGTTTCCTAAGTAGACAAAAGGCTGTAACATTAATTCTTACTTATTATCGCTCCCTGATTCACCGGAGAATCAGCATGAAACTCCAGCTCCATACCGAGCAGAAGCCTTCAATGAAAGACAGGCTCTCTAATAAACCTGGGTTAACCAACTGAAAGGCAGAGATCCACAGGAGACAAGGCTTCCCTAGTGGCAGTGCTCAATGCTCAGTGCTTATTTAAGCTCACAAAGCAACTGGCTAAATTTTTGTATGAAGAAGGCTGGAGAGAGAGAGAGAGAAGCATGAAGAACTTATATTGGGAACTGAGGGTGAAGGTAGACTTGAGTACAGGCAGGAGCCTGGATGATTAGAAATAAGTACAAGGTGGCAGCTTTCTTATGGTACATTACCAAGAAATGAATGTGTGAAAGCAAGTGTAGAGCAAAGATGAAGGAAAAGAAAAATAAACCAAACAGTCCAAAAGGGCTCAAGAGAAAAGGGTAACATCCTTCAGAGAAAAAGTACAAACTGGCAACGTAGAGGTTTCTGAGGCTGTCTCTGGTGTTGTGGTCACGTACTGCTGCCTGCTGTCATCCAGCACATCACTTCTGTTGACCTGAAAGCTCAGACAACTTCGAACAGCAAATGTAGTAAAAGACTGTCCACCAAAGGGACCACTAGTTGACTCAGTGGTCTCATCGTGTTCTTTGCCAGTTCCTGGCACTCACTAAGGAAGTTGATTCAATCACTGGAAGAGATTCATAAAATCCTAGTCCAACCTGTTGAAGAGCTAGCGTCAACTAACCCAAACATTACCAGTCTTAAGCAGCCAAGTGACTGCTTTGGAATCTTGTTATTTCTCATAGACTCACAGGTTTTGTACGTATCTTTTTTTTCTTTTCCCCTTTTAACGGCAGCTATTGCTAAGTGCTGAATTACCCCATCTTGCAAATTAGCAAAAAGTGAACATAATTTTTTTGTTGTTGTTGAATAATGGCTAACACATTACAAGATGGATTTCTTCATGTATTTTGACAAGTGTGGTCTTGCTTTAATTATTTATGAAAATGCTTTGCAGTATGCCAATAAAAGCCATACAGTGTATTTTTGCATATTTTTCAAAAATAATGAAGTCTTAGGGACACATGTGACTTTTCTGCCACAGTCTGCAATACATCTGTGCTTAGAGGGAACATGTGGGTGAGCAAATGACATCACCATTTGTTTGTTAGCATCTGAGTATGATGAGGTTTCCTATTTAATGAAATCAGCTACAGCATATTCTTACCATAGTTCTTCCTAACAGACACTTAAATTTTGATAGTTTTGTGGCATCTAAAAGAAAAAAATACAGACATGATATCCAAGAAAAACCTCAATACCAGAAAGAGATTCTAAAACTGAGGTAAGCTTAAATAGTTACTTTCACTACTTCAGTATCTACAGTTATAAAATAGGGGGGAAACCAGACTCCAATCCTATAGTTTTTTGCCTAATGACACAAACCCAGGACTATGATATGTCACTACAAAAGGCTAGCAGCATGGAAGAAGTTGCAAGTTAAAAGGATAAAGTAAAAATGGCTAACTGAACAGTATCTGAAAAATATTATAACATTTCACAAAAATAAACCAGCAAAATACCTTTTATTACTTTATTCTAATAACTTTATTTATATGGATATAGCAGCTGTCACATTTTTGGCATACATTAATATCTTCACTGTACTAAGCACCACACAACTATTTTAATTTGAAGGATGAAAATCATAGGTCTTTTGTTTAACTGTTGAAAAAGAACGTTGCACTAGAGTACCATAACTAATAAAGTTAACTATGAGAGCATCCATCCTATGGTATCTTTTCTTTAGCATTTTTCGCACTACCTTCTTCCTTGCACACATAACATTCATTGTATGTACACCTCTAATTATTGCCATACACACATGGTTTAGCTGACATTGCTTCTCTGATGTGTATCTCGTCTTTAGACATTCTCTACTTTAGAACGGTGTATCGTATTACTGCATCCTATGGATAGTCAATTCATGCTCTGACAATCACAGCACTGGAAAGCAGCAGATGTGCCAGCACTGTAGTCTGCCAGATTCAATTTTGTGAATACCAACCTGCTAATCCTTAAATTCCCAATTTGATTTCAGATTTGTTAGATAGATAGAGACTATGCCAAGAATTTCCAGATGATCAGATCCTGTTCCCAAATCCCACCCCCTGGATACACAGAGGTAGCAGCTCATAGAAAAAGCCAGGCTGAGAGCAGACAACGGCCATGTGAGTTCTCAGGGTACACCTGACGTACAGACGGACAGTGAAGAGTCTTAATGTGCTTTCACTTTATTCTTTGATTATCTCTGCATCTACGATCACATTCTCAAGTTAAGTCAACACTTAGGGAAGTCCCTTAAAGACACACTTTGGCAGAAGTTATGAAGGGAAATAATTCCAGGCATGATGGTCATTTACTTGGCTTTACTCATGAGTCAGAATTAATTCACACAAGAAAGGTACAGGCATCTTTGGAGACAATCAAGTCACACCAAATTTTATTGCTTTGCCCCTCTCTAAAATGAAATGCGGTCCTATAAAAGGAAAGGGAGATGATGGCACTCACCTTACATCCCTCACAAGCACTGACACCATAGTGATATCCGGATGACTTGTCTTGACAGACAAAACAGGGCTTGTAAACACGAGGTGGTGGAAGTGGTGAAGGAGGGCTCGGAACAAGTTCTTCAGAACTGGTGCTCTGAGTTTCAACTGCTACAAAAGAAAAAAGAAATATATTCGAATGATTCATGAATGAATTTTAAATTACTAATTATTTACTGTATTTTAACTATCAAACTGGCCCAAATCTATCTTGGTATAATAAACATTCAGTTGTCTTTCTTAGCAAAATTTAAGGGGAACTAAAGCAAGGCAAGCAGTGACAGGACTACATGCTATAGCCTCAAAAGCTTATTTTTAAGTACCTGACCATTTTTCATGATCCAGCTACTCAACACCACAAAAGCTTCAGCTCTCATCAGATATATGGCTTGAATCTCTTACCAGGCTCCAAAAATGGACAACCTTGGGCTGGTTTTAGCCTATTGAATTGTGTGGGATCCATGTGTGCACGCTGGATATCAGCCTTCGAAGGGAAACTGTTTGTTGCATGTACCGTTCCAATCGGTACCTAATTTTGGGAGAGCTCTTGTATCTCTTGCCTTTGTCTACAAAAGGTAATGCTTCCAATGTGGAATTCTGCCACAACAGGTTAGGGGCATGCATCAGGACATATGTAAAGAGACAAATGACTAAGTATAAGACCTGAAGTGAGAATTACCTGAATAAGTCTTCTTTTTTTTTAAACTGTAAAACTAGCACAACCCAGCAACACTTCCTTACCTACCTTTGGATTTCTAACAGGAAACCTCTCCGAGAAAAAGCTACTTACACATTATGACCCCACATCCCTTTATTGCCTTAGTATTTCTAGGTGATCGTTTGTTTTGAACCTGCTGAAAAGCCAGTTATCCCTTTCAGGGAAAGGACGTGAAAGCTCTACGAAGCGAGATAAGACATGCGAACTACATCTTTCCAAAACATCTGCATTAGTTTTCTGTGATATGCTGTCATCATTCCTCACATTTATTGTAGATGTGCAATACATTTTCATGTTTCACCTAGCCGTTCTGCTGCTTCTCAGATAAATCCCTCCAACTTTTCAACAGATACACAGAAATGACAGGATCTGTGAACTCAGACCTATCCAGAAATATTAGGCCCTATCAGCAGAGCTAAATCTCAAGAGTACTAACAGCAGGCCTTAAAGAATATTACTCAATGGAAAATCTTAGACAAGATTTACTGTACATGATATTTTTCAGATTACAAAGATGATACATTTGTATTAAACTCATGATTCATTGTCAACTCGTGTCCTGCAGAATTCACAGAAGGCATCATGGAGCACGATGCAACTTCTGATTACTTGTGAGAGGGGCCCCTTTCTGCCATTTTTACTTGGGTTAAGCTACTATCAACTTCAAGGACGGACATTTCTTGAGAAGAAAATAAATGCTAGAGTGAAGTGTTAAAGGCTCTGATTCTAAGCAAAGAAATATCTTTCCAACGGGAACAATTTATTTATATATCTAACAATAATGAGGCTGTGAAGAAACAGAAAAGTACAATAACATGTGGCTCCATAAATTGTGACGATAAGACAAGTCCAGAACTATACTTATCTTTTTCAGCATTAAATACACTAAATCTTGGCAAACCAAAAATATACAGGTTCCTACTGCACCAAGCAAACTTTAAAGAAGTTTTTTCTTAATGAAAACAGAGATGAGAATGATCACTTCTTTTCAACAGTAATTTTTTGGTATTTAAGAGAGACAGAGAGTGCTCTGTTATTGATCTCTGCACAGCCATCCTGCTTGAATCAATAATCTATTAGTACTTTTAAATTAAAGTTAGATTCATCAAATGCCCTTGAGAGGCCTCAAACATTCTGCGCCTTATTTCATGCTCGTACATGAATTATGGCAGCTTCCAATCAGTCTGTGGAATGATAAAATTTTAGCTCTAAAACTCTAATACCAGCAGACAATGTGTTTCATATTAGCTCATTCAACTCTCCCAGTCCATCTAAAAGGCAGTTTTTAGGCTCCCCATGGGAAAACAAGGTTGTGTCATTCAATAAAACAACTGCACTCCTGCAATCCTTCTGTGATTTCAGTTTGGGGAAAGCAGTCTTTGAGGAATAATACTGATACACTTCTACTTTTTTCATGATTTCATTCTAAAGAAGCACCAGCATCCAAATAGCAGTGTTCAAACCACAAACCATATGTACAACAGAGGTCTGTCAGGCACCGGCCAAGCACCAGGAACTTGTGATACCGAGAAGAGATTAAGCAACCAGCTCAGTTCATAACTACACAACATAGTCAGCAACTGAAAAGCTGAAGGTGCCGCTAGAGAATTTTTTTTCTGGACAACTTGAAAAGGTATAGGAGAAGGAAAGATTCAATGTAAACCAGTAGACTCTCCCTAAAACACCCATATGTATATTTGCCACTAAAAAGGCTTAATCTATTCAATGTAATACTTGCATCAGCTGAACAACCATCTAGAGAGTTTGAGGGTTGTTTTTTTTTTTTTGGGGGGGGGGTGTGTGTGTGTGTGTGTAAGAAAATCCAGTTTGGGAACATTCACTTTTGATCACAGGCAAGACATACAGCTTTCTGGAGAATGCCTGAACTCAGATTACACATGCTTGACTCTTACTCCAGCTTCTGACTTACTATTCTTCCTTGGATTTAGCCTTTTTAACTCTTTATTTGAAAACGTAGGTACTGCCAGCATGGAAGTGCAGAAATCTGGTGCAGGCATCTGTAGCAATTCATGCTCAGCAGGTATAAAGCATTATTTCTGTATCATGTCGGTGTCTAGTGGACGCATGACAGCAGAACCCGCTTTCTTCTATGCATGTCTGCACATGCAAGGTGGAAGAAAGAAAGGATGGAGGGCGGACAGTTGACATTTTCAGAAGAGTCATTTTTAAAGCAGCCTTACAATTTTAGGAAGAATTCAAAGAAATAAAAATAGCTACTTCTTTCCATGCCCTGCTGTCTTGTCCTACGGGATGTGACACTTCAGGGTCCCTACTCACCAGAGAAAAGAGAGCCCGGGTGCCGTCACCCAACACCTGAATGCCACTTAAGCACACAGGGACTCTCAAACAATCGGTCACTTCACAATTCCTAAGATGTCTGAAATATTTCTAAAGGTTAGATAAAGCAGCAGATAAGATCTTTAAAAGCACAGTGTGCTTTGTGAGAGCTAATTTACTGCCAGCTAAACCATGTTGACAGATGGAGGAGGTATTTTACTTTGTGACCAACTAGAAGCAGGCAGGCATTATGAAATGCCTTGCGTTTCGCTAGAAACTTAGATTATTAAGCTTGTATGTTAATGCACACTTTGGACAGTTGAGTCTTAAAAGAATAAGAAGTTGTAAAGCAAATGGCATTTCCTGGATAGCCTCAAGGGAATTTTGAATACTGAGCTAAGGGTCCCTGGTGGGAAGCAGCAATTTCAGCTAATTAGGGTGAATAGCAAAGTGTTGCATTTGGTCAAAACATTCTGTTAACCCTCATTTTTGTTGGCACCAACAAGAGTCTGGATTTTTTGCCCCCTTTTTTTTTTTTTGTGAATTCACTGCAGGAGTGCAAGGCACACAGCTCACATACATTAGGCAGAAAGTCAAAGGAAACGCCAAAGTTCAACTAAAGTACAAGTAATTAGAACCAGATTCTCTGCTGCTTGTATGTGTGCATTTGATTGTAGAAGTTATTTATAAGCCTCCAAACATTTGAAAAAATAACTATATACTGTAGATCATTTAATTTTTATGTCTCGTCTGGAAAAAAAAGTCTGCTTTTAATCATCTTCCAGGAAAGAGCCAGGAACTGGGAAAGTGGGTCTCAATTGTTTCAATACAAATTTCTCTCTTTCATGTGCCACATAAAACTATGCTATAAAATTAAATCCAAAATATCATTGTCTCAAACCCCCCCCATCCATTTTTTTTTTAATAAAAAACTTCTTTGAATTTGTCATGCTTAAATAGTTTGCATTGTTACGAGGGTTTGTTTTTTTTTTAAACTGTTGTTTGGAAGACAGACAAGGGGAGAAGAAAAAAACAAAGAGTGAGAGAGAAAGAAAACATTATCGTGGAGACTTGCCAGCCTTGACTTAGTAACCTGGCCATGACCCTCCAGCGAGTGTGTGTTTGACCCGGTCACACATGACTCTGGCTGCGTACTGTTGCTGGGTTATAAGTCCCAGATATTTTTACCATATATACAACAGGTGGGGATCACGTACAACAGAAAGAGGAAAACAAAGTCTTCCCTTGTGTGAAGACTCCCATTTTCTCCCTTGCAAAGAAAACACCACAAAGCAAAGAAGTCATGCTACTATTTCACGTAGCTGTGCTGGATCGTTGTTTTACCCAGGGGTTGACGGCACGGAGGTGGAGTGGGCTGAGGGCAGGAGGACGGAGGAAAAGGCTCAGGGGAAGCCATGTGCAAATGTTAATCAATGCAGAACGAATTACCAAACTGTAACATCGGAACCACAATCGGAAGTCTTTCCTCACAGGGCTGGGTATGCATCGAGGTTCAGGAGGGAATGTTTTTTATTACGAGTGAACGCAACATACCTGGATTAAAACACAGGCTGCCACAATAACTCCAGATTGAGATATTATCAGGATTTTCAGAAGTACTTAAGAAAGTATGTCTTCCACATTTGAGGGTTTCTATTTTATTATTTGCGTCTTGCTAGCTGCACAAATCTGCCTTAAAGCCATGATGCTAAATGTAAGTTATTCTATTTTAATTCCTGATTACAATTTTTCGAGCATTAATTTTAATCAAGTCATAGTTCATGTCTACAAGACTGTCTAGGTCTTAAAGAAAAAAAGGTATTTGGGCTGAAAGCCAAAAAAAACCTCCAAGTCTTCAGTTTTGCTTTTAGTCTGAAAAGGGGCATTCCACTTTCAACAGGGACATCAGAAGATTAAACATTATCACCTGGTTTCTACTAGAGGGTGCCCAATCCAAAATGATCCCTTTCTGTTATTTTAAAAGCTAAAAGAGTATCCCACAGGTTTTCACTACGAGCTGCTCAGGATTCCTACAGTATGATTAAAACAACAAAAAAACTAGCAAGAAGTAGAGGTTATGGAGCTCAGAAGCCCA